TGACTATTCTCAGACTCCTCAGGCTGTCTGCACTTGGCGCTGTAGCTCAAGTGGTAGAGCACTTGCCTTGAACTGAAGAGCTGAGGGACAGCGCCCAGGCCCAGAGTTCAAGCCCCACGACCGACCAAAAAAAAAAAAAAAGTCCCCAAGAGAATCTTATCTCCAGTTAACCACTCAAAAAAACAAACAACATCAACAACAAAAATGGAAATGGACCTGTGGTTTAAAGTGGAAGAGCTCCAGCCTTGAGCAAAGGAGTTTAGGGGCAGCACCCAGGCCTTGAGTTCAAGGCCTAAAACTGACAAAAAAAAAAAAACAACTAGCAACTAAGTGTTAAAAAGCTTCTCTTTGTTCTGCCAGATGACTCTTTTCTCACCTTGATCAACTGCTAATAAAAATTACTGAAGATGGACACTGGTAGCTCATGCCTACAATCCTAGTTACTGAAAAGGCTGAGATGTGAGGATCGTGGTTCAAAGCCAACCCAGGTAGGAAAGCCTGTGAGACTCTTATTTTCAACTTAGCACCCAAAAACTGGAGTTGGAGTTGTAGCTTAAGTGGTAAAGTACTAGTCTTGAGCACAAAGCTCAGCCTGAGTTCAAGCTCCAGGACCAACAGAAATAAATAAAAATTATTGAAGACACTGGATCTAAACTAAGGGTCATTATAAGACTGGTATGTAATAATTACACTTGCTCTCTTCTTTCTCCACCAGTTTTGCTTAAAACTCATGAGTTGTCTGGGAAACAGACTGTGTTCGTAGCATGATGACATGTTCTGTCCTGAATTTACTTTGGAGTCACTCAGGAGATGTTCCTGCTAAGTATGGAATGTAAAACTTGAACTCTCAAAATGGAAACTGATACTAACAGGCAATAGGAATGTCATTCCTTATTAATAAACTATAGAAAGAGAAACCAAAAAAAGTTGGAGTAAGGATTGTTACTTTGTCAATTTTGTCACTTGATGAATCTATTATACGTGATTTTCACTAACAGGAAAGTGAAAGAGCTCCCTACTTTGTACCTACACATTTTAAAAGGAAAAAGAAAATGCAATGTCCATCTGAAATAATGAGAGTGAAAAGGTTACAAAGATTGTAGAAAGGCACCTAGCACAAGACAGGCTATGACCTCCTTTACAGACCTGAAAACAAAACAAAACAAAATACAGAAAAGCAATTTTGTAAGCACAATTAAAAGTAGAAGGTTAATTGTTGGTATGAGATAGAGAGACCACAGAAGAAAAAGGGAAAATGACCTTTCATTGTTAAGTAATTACCTCCAGGCAGGAACTCCATGATTAGGTAGAGGTTTAGCTTATCCTGAAAACTATAGAACATTTTCACAACCCACAAACTGTCTGCCTCCACTAGAATGTCACGCTCCGCACGAATGTGGCCAACCTGGAGGTATACGCATTTGATTAATGACAAGCCTTACTCTGCTTTATTACACTGTATATTGCTTAAACAATTTAAAGACTGAGGATTTGTGCTGATGCAAAAGATCAGCTCAGGCACACCTACTAACTCAACTGACACTTGGAAAGTATTCAGTGATGAAAAATTGAGTGATAAATGGCTTCAAAGCAAACTGCAAATTTAACAGTGACACCAATTAAACTATTGATTAGTTAAAATTACCACTTTTCTGCATAATTTTTGTTCTAACAATTTTTTTTTTTTGGGTCCGGTCGTGGGGCCTGAACTCTGGGCCTGGGCGCTGTCCTTCAGCTCTTCAGCTCAAGGCTAGCGCTCTACCACTTGAGCCACAGCGCCACTTCTGGCTTTTTTCTTTTTGCTTATGTGGTGCTGAGGAATCGAACCCA